TACCCGTACTTTACCGTGTCGGCCATGTATGTTTCGTATATGAACCGTATTGGTCGTATGGCGATCGTATGCAACCGTTTGTGCACTCGTTTGAATCGTACCGTGATCTTGTGACATTCGGGTGTTAATCGGGTGTTGGATGTAGGACTTGGGGACGGTCTCGAACGATTCCATACGATTTAAATACGACCTTGATATGGTTGGGCTCACTCGTGGAGTGAACTTCACATACGGCTGTATATACAGTCTCATACGGTCTCACACGGTCTCTTACGGTCTTGAACGGTCGCTTATACGGTCATACACGGACATGGCATCCGTACCAGTTTTTTAAAAGTTTTAAAAATCATACACGGCTTACACGGATACACTCGAATGGCCCGAGTGTAACTCGGATAACGCTACGGTTAGTTCGGTTGTATGTACGGTTTACACGGGTGGTCAACCGTGTAAGCCGTGTGTCCTGTGTGAGATGGGCTTTATCAATGATTACGATTGAGCAATGTTCTTAATATCTACCGTAACGACAATTCAAGTCTGTATAGATATATTGTGTGACGTTTAAGCAGGAATGCCTGTGCAATTAAATGCCTCTGTGACATGTTTAACTGCAATTACTCTTATTGTCAGGGAAAAACTTGTACAATTATGTTCAATCTAGCGGCTGTATTCGCCTGTTAGGGAACATAAACAGTTGATGCGGTATGTCGAGAGTGGAATGAATGTGTCAAAGTGGAAATGCTCGGAGATTTTATCTGTCACTTCAGATGAGAGTACCAGACGTAAAATGTTTCGTTTTTACAATAGTGTTGAAAGATCGTTAAGACACGGTGAATTTTAGGGATATAGAATGTAAATTATAAAATTTTGAAACAAATGTGAGAATCATAGTTCCAAAATAATTACAGTGTTTAAAGCAATCAGATATGGCACCTAAGGTACAAAGTTATAATAATAGACTTAAAATATCACTAGTTGAATTAGGGATGAGAGTTAAAGTAAAAAATAGAGATATATATATATATATATATATATATATATATATATATATATATATATATATATATAATGTCACCCATTTGAATTGCCATAAACACACACACGCACATACACGCGTGCGCACACTAACACGTACACGCACGCACACCCACAGCGTGCCGTGGTAAGATATTATACGCAAACAGGTTAAAGGGGAACAAATCTTCCATAATTGTCAATCCTCATGATACAACAGTTGTCATTCGTACTAATAATCTGACCTTACTTCGATCCGTTGCTAACTATTTTATGTACTGTTTTATCTTTGGTTTAAATAACAATTTAGAATTTATGTTTCATTCCGAACGGTCAAGTTTTAAAGATAGAGTCCTTTGAATCTTTACAGCTTCCTGATGTTGCTGATTCATGTTATTTGCTGTTATTCATGAATGCAAACTGGCACGGATTATCATACATGCTGTAAGGTTCGTCTTATCCCGCACATCATATATACATCATCACATGGTCAAAGTTTCGTTTTGTTTTTATATATACATGCACTGCTGTTAAAGGGTTTTCTTGTGTGTATGTACGTGTGTGTGTGTGTGTGTGTGTGTGTGTGTGCGTGCGTGTGCGCGCGTGTGTGTTGTTTTTTGTGTGTTTTTTGTTCTCCATTTCTTGTTGCCTTTTTTTCAATTCTTTCTATCTATTTCATTCTTTCTCTTTCATTGTTTCCCTTTTCTGCCTTTTTCCTTCATTTCATTGATTTAATGACAAAATTAAACCAGAAATTATGAATTATATCTGTACATATCAAACAGAATGTTCGATGTTTATGTATAATTAGAAGAACTAGAATAATCATTGCTCACGGGACGTCAAATCTAATAATAGCTGCTCGACAATATCACCTATGTGCCATAGAGTTTTTATCAGCTTCACTAAGTTAGTTTATAGAACTGTATATGGAGACCGAGACTCGGCGTAGGCGAGACATGTTGCAATATTCGAAATGTTATCTGGTCATTCAATTTTTCCACGCAGTAAAACGTCGCACAGTGATCGAGAGAAGACAATCCCTTCACTTTTCCTGATTATTAAGTGGATTTGTAATGGACAACATGTGGTTAATTCGACAACGATTCTTCTAAAACTACTACTTCTGCATCCGAAGATTTTTGAAACATACTCTGTTACTTTGAAAGTGCACGTTAATTAAGAAAGATATGGAATGTAATAAAAACACGTGTCCATGCATAGGATAATGCCCGGATGACACCTAGAGGCAACTTCTCGCACCAGTAGGGCCAAAAAATGCAAGTTTACCACATGTGTTCGAGTATGGTATAAGCTAGGCCTGATATAAAGCTGATATATAAACCACTATTTTACTTAATTAACGAGTTGCAAAAGAAATATTTTTTGCTTTGCTCTTGTGCTATCATCATACAAAAGAACAAAACATGAAAATAACCCACTCTTAAATTCCGTGCTTAAAAAATGTCATCGCCAAAAGCATCTATCATTCAAAAGTATAAAATTAAGGCTTATCTATGCTTTACTATCTTCTTGCTGTAAACATATTTTTTATGAGAAACTAACTCATTAAACTTGGTAGTGGTATCGATTTTTAATAAATAAAAGGGACATTTATGATTAATATTAATTTTAACCACTTCTTTTTCTTTCATAAATTTCCCATGGGAACAATATTTGTATCGCGCCATTGCAGACGCTGCTTTGATTTTTCGACTCTCGGCGTTTTGTTAGAAGACCCCACAAAGTAGAGTTTCATCAGATTGATATTATATTTAATTATATTGTCAACAAGATCATTACAATACATCGTCAGAAGGATGATAAGTGTAATAATGATGCCAATATTATCCGGACTGATACCCTTTCGCTCGTCCCCCTCACAGTGCTAAGTTATGGAATATGATTATCTGAACATTGATTTATTGATCTTTCCTAAATTACATTTACTGTTTATCATAATTGTTGAAAACAATATCTTAAATTGACATAGAATGCTCAGTTTTTTTATCAAAATTTTGACTGTTAAAATGATTATTCACCTACAGTTGATATTGGAAAATGTGTATGATAAAAATATAAATCTGCCTAAAATACTAAAATATATATATAGACTATTCCACTGTTTTCATAAACTATACGTTTCAGGTAATAGCTGATGGATATTTACAGAAATTTCTTTGGGTCATGTGAGTTATTAACAATTTATGCGAGGTTAATTATCAATGTTACAGATTTTTATTTCGTTTCTCAAAAGTACCTTTTGATGAACTTTTATAGTTTTAAAATGTTACTGATGCCATATGCGCCATTTACCCAAACCATCTTTTCTTCTGTTGCTTTTTGGCAATTAGTACAGTTATAGTTAATGTATTTAGTATTGAAGTCAAAATAACATTTTGTTTTCATTATGCTGTATTTTAACAAATAATTTAACATTTAGCACTACAATACTTTCTTCAGATAATAAGCATTTATGATTTCATTAAACTATAATTTAATTGTTATAAAACTCATATTTGCTCTTTTTAAAGAAGCAAATATGTATTTGTTTCTTGGGTATAATGTTCCTTAAAGGCAAAATGAAAACTTATTTTGACTCGCCATATACCTTTGAATGGGCATAACTCGGTTTCTTTTATTCCATAAAGATGTTACCGATGTATGAAATTGAAATGCAGACCTTAAACGACAAGAGTGTCTAAAATAAAAACTAAGAAGATTCTATGGTAAACATTCCAAGCCTAGGAGTACTAATATACAATTTAAGCATTTAGAGAAAATTAGATTTACATTTCCCCTTTCTAAATAACGTTTACTAAATTGAAAATTTTGGATGCTCATAGCATGCCATCCTGTGTTAGAAGCAAATATACTTCATGTTTGGTATCTTTGTACGAATATCATTTAAAAGATAACAATAATTTATTTTTATTTCCATTAAATGATCAAATGTCAATTATAAAGCTTTATAAGTAACTTACAATGAATAAAATAACAGGTCCTTTGTTCTTTGTAATTTCATTACTTAGAATATAACGGCTGAAGATTTCATTCAGAAACAATATTTTGCATAGCGACCGTCGTGAATGAGTTATTAAGATCATATTTACCTCCCTCCACCACTGGGGTTCCAGTCCCATCTAGAACTTGGAATATGTTGTAGCCGAGATGTCCATTAGCTCTTCTTAGGTGCCCGCTCGTGTCTGAAGCAATGCAAGCATGGGAAACTAAGGTAAGTCTTTCTCCATTAGAAAAGCTGTAAAGTTGCAACATGACCTACACATTGTTTCTGTGGCAAAAGCAACTAAGTGCAGTGAATAAGCAAAAAGATCTAAGACCAAAATGATGGAGCGTTTCCATTAAATTTATTTGTTGTTTGCGCAATAAATAATTGAGGAGAATCGAACTGTTGACAGACTTTATTGTGACAGCTCTCGAATGGAATAACAGTATCACTTATGTAAATAAAACTGTTTATTCGTACGGGTATGAAGTATTAAAGCGATGCACGACTGAAACAATTTTTGAAGCTGTTAATTGTGAAAATGTTATTCATTTGCTACAATTAATCGCCAATGATTTTTATTTAATATCTGTAGAAAACTAAATGCGATATGATAATAATGAATAATTCATCAACTAAATGGATCAATTATTCATCATTATAAAGTTGGAGAACTGTGTAACGAGTTTAGAATATTTCCTAATGGGCTGAAATAATAATATATAGAAGTGTCTGAGCGTAAATGGAGGCAGTATCTAATCAATGACTTTTTGCGGGGGATATAAAGGCCGCAGAGACCAGTCTGGTATCATATTAGTGCCTCATTCATGTAAATAGCTTCATGTATGGAAACGAAGATATGAACATTCAATGCAATGTGTAACTTTTTAATGAACAGTGATTTAATTGGAATTTCGAATTTAACTATTTGATGTGGATTTATATTTTCTGTACTTAAAGAACACAGCCTTTTAGAAAAATGATTTTGATATTTATGATATATTTCTGTGTGTTGCAAGTCAGTGCACGCGAGAATCATGAACATTCGTTAACTGCTCTAAGGAAGCAGCTTTTCGAGAATTACTACGCTGACGTAAGACCGGTCCTCAACCATTCTCAACCAATAATTGTGACAATTAACCTAACGTTACTGAAGATACAACAAGTGGATGAAAAGCGCCAGTCTTTGAGGACGACAGTAAATCTTCTGCTATCATGGAATGATGAGTTGCTTATTTGGAACAAGTCAGAGCATGAGGGAATATCAAACTTTGTGTTTCCGTATAATAGGAATGTTTGGATACCGGATATAATGGTGTCAAATGCGTTAGACAAACCGGCAGAGTTGGGGTTGAAAGAAGCGTTTATTTCTCTTACACACGCAGGAGAAGTTGTGGTATGGACGCAAGTGAACTTCGATACCTCCTGTGAAATAAGGACTAAAAAGTACCCATTCGATGAACAACACTGCGAGATACTCTTTACAAAGTTCATGAATGAAGATGACAAACTAGAACTTAAAGCAACAGACAATAAAACCAATCTTGAAATGTACATTGAAACAGCCGAATGGCAAATTATTGACAATTACGTCAGATACGAAATTGATGTATATGATACAAATATAGGCCGTTTGAATTATACTGTACTTCATTATCATTTAAAGCTTAGACGCACATGTATGTCATGCATTTTGAATATAATGGTTCCAGTTTTGGTTTTAGCCTGTTTGAACCTGCTAACATTCTTTGTGCCTTGTGAAAGCGGCGAAAAAACAAGTTTTCCTATATCAATTTTTCTAACACTAGCTGTTTTTCTGACCATGATAACGTTGTCTTTGCCAGAATCTATCGACGGCGTATCATATCTAAGCACGTACGTGACATTCCAGCTCATAATAAGCACAATAACCCTCATATCGACAGTGATATCTTTACAGATTCATCACAAAATGAACAATAGGCCTATTCCCAAAATTGGACTCGCGATTTTGAGAGCATTCAAATCCAGAAAGAACTTGTACCCTAGCAGCAAGCACTTAAATGAGGTCAGACTTGATGCAGATGACACCGGAAATGACGTTATTCATCCGATTGAGCGATCAGAAAGCACCGTGTACATGCAAAGAAGGTCTAGCAAAGGTTGGCAAGACGTTGTTGATGCATTTGATATGATGATGTTCACTATTCTACTTATTTGTGAAATTATCACAACAATAACTTTTATTTGTCTAATCCTCAATTAAAATAAATTTATAAACTCAAAAAGAGAAAGAAATAGCTGTGTTGTTATGAAGAATAGGTTTTTCTTCGAATGCCTCAGTTTTCGAAACATAAATACTCGAAACCTATACATGAAATTTATTGCTTTATACAATAACAGTACATTATTACTTGAAAGTAACCAAAGCATGAATGTAACCAACAGGTATACTTGTTAGAGACATTAAAAGTGGTGTTTCTAAGAGTGAAATAACAGTACTTATATGAATTTTATAGTAATCATTTATTTTGGCATTATTTAATGCTGGGAAGCATTACAACAAAATTACATGAAAATTGCAGACTCGGTTTTGAGTCTGTACATTTAAAATAATGAATAAGTGCAACATCCGTCACGTCCCTTAGCACCGGCTTGAGCGGTATTCAAGTTTAAAAACTTAAACGTGCTGGAATCAATGATCCCGAAGGACAAAAATAATATTACAACACTGACGTGAAATACGCAACATTTTTACAACTGCCACACAGCACTTGACACCTGCTGTTGTGAAGTCTATAAAAATGGAAGAAAAGAGATGCCACAGAAAGTGGCTATACATTGTTGTTATTGGCTTTTTATGAGAGTAGACAGTAGGAAAAGTAAAAAAAAATTATTATTATTTATTAAGAAAATTAACCGATAGAGTAGAGTATATGCATTCTTTATCAAACAAATATCTCAATTGTCTGGGTGTATATGTTTTTCAAAATTATGTCTAGTGTGTAAGTGTATGTAAAGATAATTGTTATGTGTATTAATAATTCAATATATAGGCTTCTTGCCTTTAAACGAGTGTCTTGTGTAAACATGTTGAAAATTTTGAAGCAAAAACACTGTCAATATGATCATCCGCTGAGAATCATCTATAAAAATGTATAATTATACATGTATTCATTACTATCATAAATTATTGTGATGAAAAAATTGTTAGCGTTAAATGCTTTGAAAATGTGAAAGATCAGAAATGTTACAGTCAACCAAACAGTGTGAAAAAATATGTCGCTCTATGTGACATATTGCTTATGTTTAGAGTAATGCTCCTTTTTGTCAAATATGTTTTATTAAACTATATGTTAGAAGATTTCGTTAACTTACGTTGTCAAATACTGTTATGGCACCCATTCCCTCCGACATAATCGGTGGAAAGTGTTTTTGTCTGTCTAAATATGTCTGTCTGTCTGTTTGTCTCTATGACTTTGTTGTCGTCGGTGTTGTTGTTGGCACTTTTATTCATTGATTTTGTCTATAAAAATATTTTGGTCAGAACTTTTTTCATAATATATATTAGAATATTTGAAAATAACACCTGTGAGTGAGAGCTATAATTTGACGTATTGCATGATAACCTTGACCCTAACGCATCTTTACCGCCAAAGTCATGTTAAGAACTCAGTACTGGTTTTTGTTTACATGCATGTTTGTGCCTTTGCCTTTTTGTCCTCCTATGTTTAATCTTTCTGGTAACTTGATGACTTGACGATCTTTTTACAGTGTTTGTTTTTAATATAAATATTTATCTTTACCTTTCATCTTTTTAATAATGTATATTTTTCGCTAAAATGTTCTATTTAGTTAGCCATAATTGATATTAATAAAAGTTTAATAAAGTCGCAAATTATATATGACAAGTGTCAGTAAAATTGTGCATACCATAAAAATACACAAACTGAAGTGTAATATTTCACCATTATATATTTTATATAACTCAGTTCAAATGAATAAATGATTTAGTAATTTTGAGTTGTATGTGGCTAATAAAATGTAACATCATGATTACATTTCATGTTTTGTTTAATTATGTGAATTATTATGTATAATATTCCAACTTAGATGATTTTTTATCTGTTATATATAATTTTATCATGTTGATGACGCCGGAACACTAATGCAAAAAGTCTATGACATTAGCTAGTATCTGAAAGCTTTTAAAATTATTTTTGTATCATAGATGAGAGTCCTTTGCCAAGGAAATTTGTATAAAATAAATGCAGCAGTTAATGCAAATTTTTAAAAGGGAATGACCTGTATTAAAATAGCTACGCCGCCTTGTACAAATGGGATTTTAAATGAAAATAAATGTATCGCGTTCCGATCCTCTCTCTCTCTTACCTAATTACATAAATATGCCAAACGACAATGCAAAAAAAGTGGACGGTAGCTTTAATAGGAAAATTATTATATTTTAAAAAATACAGACACATTCCTGAGAAACAAATTGTCGTCTATTAATTAATAAGAATATACATAAAAGGCTTCTGGATTTGTCCTGTTTATTGCCAAACCGAACGGTACGTAATATTACAAAACTACGGAAGTTTATATTTATTTCTAAATGACGATAATATTTTCATTGAATGTTTTGTACAACAAGACTGTATTTCCGCGATATGATAGACCCCATACAAGGCGTGCTGATAACGTTAATTACAAATTCTGAAATTAAAAAAAAGGAATGAGTTATTAATTATTGCTCCTCAGGGTTAGTTCTATTGAATAAACTCAGTATTCATCCATTGTAACTCTAGAATTATGTCATCCGTCAGTGATTTGATAGAAAAGGGAAAATAGCATGATATAAAATAATCATATTACCGTTCAATTTACAATAATTAAATGATTTATGAATGCCTTTTTATATGTGCAGTCACTTGATCGATTCCCCGATGCAACATTGAATCGCTCTGTAGGTTACTAATTAATCATATAAAATTTCTTTTTGCTGGACAACAGAACAAAATCGTACAAATCAACGGATTATCAGTTTTCAATTCATTTTTTGTAAATCTACAGTACAAGGTTGATAAAAAAATGAAATTAAAATACAATAGTCTGTTATCCCAGTTAACAACGTCAGTAAATTAATTATTTATCCTTCTACATGTATATATAAGACATGTATAAAATATGAGACTTAGTTATGTATTCTAATAAGATTTCATGGGCATAATATTAAACATTTGCTTGATTCCTAAGGTTTTAATTATGTGTGGCTATTTCAAGGAGTTAGAAACAAAAGCTTGTTAATAGATGTTCTTGAATAAATATTGTATGATAATGGTTTATAACTTTGGATCGCTCAATTAGACAACTCGACAAGAGCCAGGACATAAAGACTATTGTCATGTCTCAGATATCAGCCATATTTACACACTGTTAATATAACGAAATTAAGAAAAGTTTTAACAAGACTGAGTGTGTCATCATATTATCTATTAGTAGAAGCAGGAAGATGGCATAAGCCACATAGAATATTATTTGACCAAAGAAAATGTGGATTTAGTAACACTCTGAAGGATGAATTCTATTTCTTATTTGAATGTCCTCTGTACCATGTTTTAAGACAAATACAAATGAAAAATATTTTTAGAGGTGATCGAATGTAATAAAATTTAGAAAATTATATGAATCTGAAAATTTAGCGATATTTTTTTCAAAAGTTTTAATAAAAAGAGACAATGCTCTGTATCAACGATGTATCCTTGTCCTTTCACTGCATCCTATACAGTATATATGAGATCTATTATAATTATGAATATGAATTGATTTTGTAACCGGCCCATTTCATTTATATCATCCTTATGTCATGGCATTGATATTATGTAAATTCCGAATGTACTATTACTGTATACTGATGAGCATACTGCCTTTGTATGAATAAAGTTTATCATATCATATGTTATTCATTGGGGAGGAAACAACAACGGTGTATCTATAAACACGTTCAATAATAAAAATAAAAACATGCATTCTAAGCGATTAAGGAGTTATTTAGTAACTGAATTATGCCAACGAATATAACGTCTGAGGACATGAAATAAAAATTCGCATAGATAATTTAAAAACCAAATCCTTACAATGACTTATTTCTATTGTCAACACGTTCCAGTAAAAGTTAAGAGAATGAATAAGGTCAAATGTCAAAATTCGTACCATCTAATAACCATTATGTTCAGATCCAGAGGGATTGCATGTATTGTAAGATTGGACCAATAAGTGTGTGTAAAATTACAGAACAATCGCTAGAATAATCTTTTTTATTTTGCAAAATGATCTTAAATTGAAAAGCGATAAATTTTCGAATGACCCTAAGAATCACACAAAAACGATTTTCAATTATATTCAAGGTACAGTAGAGAAAATAAGAATCCCTAAAGAAAGCCCAAAACGACAAAATTAAGATTATTGCAGGCTCGGTTTTATTGAGTCTGTTCATGGACGGTTATTGTAAAGTGCAAACTACAGCCCACGCCCCTAGCACCGGCTTAAGCAGAATTCAACATTTTAACATGAAATGGTACAATTTGGAATTTTGAAACATCCGCAGATGTGTTCATATGGCGGTTATCATGGAACCTTCAATGTGACACGTAAAGGCAAGTCTTAATACTCACTTGCATATTTTCCGATTTGGTTCACCAGTTGACCTATGTAAAAATATAATATTTTATATCCTTAAGATAAACATGTGAATAACCTCCTTATTTTCATCATATTAAGAAGCCCATCTTCTGAAGTTGGTGGCATCTATTAAAGAACATGGAAAACGCCAAAGGAAACATAAAGGAAATAATGTTGTCAATAAATTCCAGCCGAATACTTTGCTTTTTATTTTATTTTATATGGTCGTGTATTGGTTGGAAACAATCGAGAAACAGTCAAAATATGAATAATATGCCGTATCTGAAAATTTAAACGTTGAGAATGGAAGACGCAGGTGACGAATTTCTCTGCAAAGTAACCAGCTATTTTGTATATTTAGTACATATCATGATCAGTATTGACAAAGGTTATGCTTTTCTTCTTGTAGTAGTCTCCCATCAGCTTTATGTTATCGATGACGTCAGTGAGCAGGTGCGCCGAATCAGGCGTAAATAGCGGATCTTCTAGCTCTACGTGTTTGAAGATTACATGAAAATGATAGTATGGTGGCTGATACAGGACAAACATATTAAGCTTACTTGGAGATATTCCAAATCTATCCATTACGACTGTCTGAAAGTAGAAAGAAATTTACATATACCATATTAGTCATACGTTGTGGCAAATATTCTTCTTTGCAAATTATAATATAGGTTTAATATACAAATGCACAAGACCTTTGACATTCAAGCTCATAACTTCATAACTGAATGTCATATTCTTTCTCATCATTATTGTTCATTTAATTCCTTTGAGTTGCAGGCTAGATAAAAGTATCTCGGTTATATTTTAGATATCTATTTGTCAGTATTGAACAGTGCAGATGCAGTTAATGTGTACAGCGTGCTTCTGTTTGCATTATATTATTAAATGTTTTGTATATAGACATGTCTAGACAATCAAAAGTCGTCGGCTGTAACTGAAATATTAGTCGCGGTTCTTTGTTTTCAATGCCATAAAAACGAAATGAATATTAAATGGTACCGTCCGATTATCAAGAATTACAGCATAAACAAACAGTGAAAGAGTTATGCTGTTTTATTGCATAATTTGCTTCTTGTCAGTGTTAAATATTTAAACACATTCAACAATTTAATGAGATTAACAACATGTGAATGCTTTAATACTCATTACCCTGTTATTTGTACCATGAAAATTCCACAATCAAACCATATAAAGTATAATAAAGTGTTCAATGAAACTTGAAACTTCAAGCAGCATTGTTATGTTTGTATAGTTTTATTAATGAGATATTTAAATAAAGTTCATGTTCAACAGGAATCCATAAAACATTTTGGTCGGTCCAACAATCAAGGCAGATAATAAGTCATTACATTTTGTTAAATTTCCATAAGCCTGAATTTGTAATGGAATATTAAATAGTGTTTTAACATCATTGTTATTTATTTCACTAGTAAAATAATCGCTTTCTGCTATCTCAACTTATTTTTAAGGAAAGATATGCTAGACGCTTGAAGGGATCTAAAATTTTAATTGTTGATAAACCATGTGAACATAAAGTACGTAAAGTTACCTGAGTTTTTCACAAGATTTTCATTCATGGTGAGAATACATTTGCCTACCCTTTACACAAGATGAGACACTACCTGCTTTTTTTAAAAGATGATCATACTTACTGAAACTCAAATAACCTGAAATTTTCACAAAATATTCATAGAAAGGGTGAAAGTGAAATTACCTGTCCTTTCCCTAAGATATTCATAAGAAGTGGAAGAGATGATGTGTCAAGGTCTCTAAGAGATTTAATTCCTAGTTTACGAGCTATTACCACCAAGTACAAGTCACTATTGTCTGCCTTTCTGATATTGTATACTTGGTTCAGACTGAAGCCTGTTTCTAGATCAGCGTCTTCAAAAATTACTACATCGAGTGTTTTGTTTTTGTCGAACGATGCATTTACATTCTGAAAAAGGAAATGAAATTATTCATTTATAAAGGGAAGTAAACGAGTTTCTACGGGTTTTAAAGAAAAAGAAACCAGGCTTATACGAAAAGGAAAATGAAGCTTATATACCACAAAAAGAAAGGTATTATCTAAGGAAAACCAAGAGCATGTAAACTCATTTACATGTAACATTTGTGTACTTTTAATTAACACTAAGGAGATTCATGTTTATTTGGAACACAAAAAGAACAAGGGTGCCATAGTCACATAATACGCCCGTTTACGAAAGCTTTAGATGGAGATGGGGGCATTATGGATAAGTGTTATCTAGCAAGCAAGTTTTTATTCTTGGCACTGTGTTGTTAAATGAACCTTAAAACAAATCAGTAGGGAAGATATGCACAGGATGTGTGACCTTGACCTTGGTTGCAGGGACCTGAATTTTATGCACGGCACTCAGCCTCACAATGATGAACATTTGTTCCAAATTATATTGAAATCCCTCTATGCATTTAGAAGTTTTGCTCCAGACAAGCGTTTTTCTATGAGCTCTAACTGTGACCTTCACCTTTGACCTAGAGACTTGGTTTATGTGCAGGGCACTACGTCTCATGGTGGTGAACAATTCTATAAAGTAACATTAAAATTCCTCCATGCATGTAGAAAATATGCTCCGGACAACATCTGGATATTTAATCATCTCCAGTGACCTTGACCTTGCAAATATTAACCTATATTAAATGTGTCATACCTGTAGTCATGATAGTTACCTTTTGTGCTACAATCCATCAATAAATGATGACTAAATGGTCCCTATACACATCTTCAAATTTTTATCTGAACTTTGACCTCTATGTGTAACATTGACTTTGGTCGCAGGGATCTGAATTTTGCGTGCGACACTCAGCCTCACAATGGTGAAAATTTGTGCCAAGTTATATTGAAATCCCCCTATGAATGTAGAAGTTTTGCTCCGGACAAGCGTTTTTCAATGAGCTCTAAGTGTGACTTTGACCTGGAGACCTGGATCATGCATGGAGCAATACATATCATGGTGGTGAACATTTCCATAAAGTATTATAAAAAATCTTCCATACATGTAGGAGATATGCTCCAGACAAAATCTGGATATTTCACCATCTTTAGTGACCTTGACCTTGCATATATTGACCTAAAGTACATGTGTCACAGCCGTAGTCATGATAATGACCATTTGTGTTACAATCCCTCAATAAATGATTAAATCGTCCCTATACACATCTTCATATTTTTATCTAAACTTTGACCTCTATGTGTGACCTTGACCTTGGCCGCAAGGACCTGAATCTTGCGCGCGACACTCCACCTCACAATGGTGAACATTTGTGCCAAGTAATATTGAAATCCCTCTATACATGTGGAAGTTTTGCTCCGGACAAGCATTTTTCAATGAGCTCCAAGTGTGACCTTGACCTTTGACCTAGAGACCTGGTTCATGTGCGCGACACTGCTCCTCATAGTGGTGAACATTTCTATGAAGTTTCATGAAAATCCCTCCATACATGCAGGAGAGCTGAACTGATATTTACTTGAAAATTAAAATATAATTAAATTTCTATGAGAAAGTATTTACATTTGATAAGGTAATTACTGTATTATCTTTATGAACAAATACCAAGTCTACAGAACACCATAGTTATCACAGTTAAGAATCTTGACCAATGAATGAAACATGTGTAAATAAATGTTACATTCTTTAGAACATACTCAAGTCCAAGAAAGAGGATTATTTTATGCCCTTTGATTAAATTCTATTTTTAGAATTGAAAGTGAAAGTAGATCAAGGGAAGTAATTGTGTAAGTCATTTATGAACAAAGTAATAACTTTGTTGTCCCCCTTTGATTAAATTCTATTTACAAAATCTGGATATTTCATCATCTTTAGTGACCTTGACCTTGTATATATTGACCTAAATTATATGTATCACAGCCATAGTCTTGATAATGACCATTTGTGTTACAATCCCTCAATAAATGATGACTAAATGGTCCATATACACATCTTCATATTTTTATCTGAACTTTGACCTCTATGTGTGACCTTGACCTTGGCCGCAAGGACCTGAATCTTGCACGCGACACTCCGCCTCACAATGGTGAACATTTGTGCCAAGTAATATTGAAATCCCTCTATACATGTGGAAGTTTTGCTCCGGACAAGCATTTTTCAATGAGCTCTAAGTGTGACCTTGACCTTTGACCTAGAGACCTGGTTCATGTGCGAGACAATGCTCCTCATAGTGGTGAACATTTCTATAAAGTTTCATTAAAATCCCTCCATACATGTAGGAGATATGCTCCGGACAAAATTGGACGCCGCTGTCCGCCCGCCCGCCCGCCAGGGGCGTTCCCATAATACGTCCCGTTTTTCAAACGGGCGTATAAAAACGAGTTTATATGAAGCACAAATAAGATAACAAATAAGGAAAAAATCTAGTTTTTATTAGAAAATCCTCGACAAATAGCTATATAAGAGCAGACCTATAGTCTACTGGTAACGCACTAGAATGGAAGTCTAGGGATCGCAGATTTTATCCCACACACTACCAGTAACAATGTTAAATGTCTTTTGAACCTTAGGTCACATGTATCTGTCACATGCGCTTAACCGGGCATTAAAAGATACCACAATAAAAAAAGAAAATGAGAAAAAGAATAATAAAAGTGCAGCTTTAGAGGACAGGGGTCGTTGATGATACGGGAAACAAAACTGCGACAGTAAATAAACGCAAAGAAAGAACAATAAGATAGGAAACATGATTCCAGAACAGTAAACCTGTATGATTAATTTATCACTCGTTTCAATGTAGGGCAAAGTTAACGCAGTATACTCTGCCGGGGATTCCCTTATTATTGTGGAGGCTATGCCTCCCCAATGTTAATACCATTTGTCAAATCTTACTGCCGCGGTAATCAGGTCAAAAAATAGTACCTTGATTTTTTAAACTGACTCATCACTCATCACGGACATTAACAATTATGAATTATTAAATATGAAAATGTTTTCATTCTTTAACTTCATATCTGCAATTTTTAAAGATAATAATTCTCTGAAACAATTGTTTATTATTTACAAAATCACTACTCCGTGACGTCATACTGCCGCGGTAATCAGGTTTAGGCATACGGACGTTGGTCATAAATAGTTCTGGTGTGAAAACCCTTCTATATAATAACTTTATCAGTATTTTTTAACAAAAAGCATAAATGAAAATTAATAAGTATATGCTTTAATTTGGTGGCAAATATTCTTTATAATTTTTTATAACAATTTTCCTATTACTACGCAACGACCAACTGTTTACGACGGGTCATTAACTAGAACGTTACAACACCGTATTCTCAATATCATGCATGTTCTTTTGTTGTTATAAACGATTAATATTCCTTAATATTTTTGTAAAGACAAATGATTGTAAACTGTCGTTTACATCGTGCTTGCGTGATAACAAAGGAAAACTAACTTATTAGTACACCCTAGGAGGTTGTACTCGGAAAACGCTCATAAACCGCTATATCATATAGCTGTTAGTAAATACTTTGCATACATTTAACTAAAAATTATCTGATGGTGATGAACATATAGTTTTAAAACATTATATTCTTGAACCATTATCGCCGAAAAATCTATTTAACTATACACCCGTAAGGACCCTCCGACAAAATTTCAGCACACGATTTAATTTTACATTAGCAAAATAAAAAAGCAATATTTATATTTTCATCTTACATTATTCATTAATCAAAGTTTTTAACATAAAAGTATCTTGTAAAAATATGTCTGGCAATTGACAGATCCCTACTCTGATCTTTTATTTGTATAGGAATAAATTTAAACATGTGCTCTTTTGTTTAGGAATATTTTGTAGTGAAAGTCTTAATATACCCACTAATCTCAAAATTAGAATAAGACAGGTCAGGGATTTATACAACCAGTTGTTAAGTTAACTACGCTCATTTTAATCCCAATAGAAACATTCAAATATTTGGGGTAAAAAACATGACCAAAGTACCTAGTAGTTGTACCGGTGGTGATCCCATTAAACTGATTATAGATTCGAATTGATTAGAAAACACAAATAGAAACATGTGTTTCCGTACAACAAAAATCGGAAGTAAAGTGAACAGATAAATGACAGAAATATGTGGTCAAATATGTTTTAACAAGGTAATAATTTTTTCAGAGAAAGACGCAAAGATCAGTCTTCAATGAAATGAATGACCCCGTATTGTGTAATTAGAAAGTTTATTCAATTCTAGGGCAACGCATCATAATTTGATAGTCCATGTGTAATAAAATTTTCAATACAGATTATGAGATACAAAAAAAATATTAAAGAATAAGAAGCTTTAAAAATGAAAAAAAAAGAAGAAAAAAACGCATATATTACGAATGACTTACAGTTCGAGCATCGGGAAGTCATTAACATATCTTACGAAACTTTAATTTGAAAACGATATTTGCGCGCGCTGAAGTGATTAAAGTTTATTTGAAAAATGGGATA